GTTGTAAGATGGTAGTAGCTACGTGCCACCCCATCTGCTTACTGCTGTCTTCCCATGACCAACTCGACGCCCCATTCGCATTGACTGTGCAAAATCTTGCATGAGGGTGCCCGAAGACGGTTATTCGATTTCTTAGCGTCGCGTAAAAGCTTTGCTGTTGAGCGAGACCTTGATGCATCGCAGGAGGAAGGGGGTAGCTACGACCGCTGCTATCGACACGCGGTGTGTCATTGTAGAACACCGCAACGTCGTCACAGCCCACGAAAGCGCTACAAAAGAGCCAAATGAAACCAATCCCATATGGACAGGACAGCAGACCGGCTTGGAGACGGCTGGGGGCTATATTCTCTTCTTGTCGCAATAGCAGTGACGCCGCTTCGCCAATCGACTCCATCTGTGTAGCAGCATCGCGCACGAGCGGCTCAACGGGGCCTTGTTGCTTTGTTGTTGCAGTTGTCTTTGTAGTACACAGTTTCGTGCCAAACGTAGAGGTGCGAAGCGGAAACAAGATGGCGTGAGCACCGTTGTGCTTGATGCGGCGCCGCTTACGGTGGTGTACGACGCGCGGCACCTCGCCGGTGTGCTTGGTGCTGCAGCCGTCCAATTTGTGATCTTGGTTGTCAGTGGTGGTGCGACCCTCGACATCGTCGTCTTCATCGTCGTCGCTGTCCATATCGAAACTGAGGTGCGTTCTAAGCATCGCACTGTAGAGCCATGCAATAAACTCTACAGAAACTACCGCTTCGCCGAGTCCAAGAGCTGGTGCGCGACAAACGTATCGTTGAGGTACACAAGGTCGTGCTACATCGAGTAAACGCTCTGCAAAGGGACCATGAAGCCTGTGACGCACCGGTGCATTTTCGGGGCTCTGCAGTCGCATCGGCTTTCCGTCGACGCTCGAGCTGATACGAGTACGTGCTTTTGAGAGCTATTTGCGTTGTGACGATGACCTTGATATTCTTAGAGCGCTGCGCCATCTTGATAGCTTTCAGAGGCACCAACCGACGCATATTTTTGTCGTTGGTTTGATGCAGTCAACGTCATTGAGCTGTGACTTTACCATGCTTCGGGTTTGCAGCCACCCCACGCTGTCGGGGCTCGAGCTTTCGGGGTGTCAGCTCATCTCTGCTTCACAATGCGGTCCATTCGCGTGATCCCGTACGTCGTTCCAGTATGTCTTGCTCGCCTCACCAATCCGAGCACCATCGACGCTATTATCGATGCTGTTTTTCCTCATGTCTTCTCCAACGCTGGCGTTGAGCAGGCACATGATGCTGGGCTCACCGATAACTTGTATTTTGTATTCAATACAAATACGGAGTGAAATAGAATGTTGTAACTGCCACAGCACCATTTGCCGGAAGCAGGTAATAATACAGCCGACGATGAAGAAGGCGAAGACCGGTCGTGGTGCTACGAACCGAGGCTTGGCTTGCCTCGAGATCCCCGATGTGTGCAAGGCCATCCTCGCTTACTGCTTCCTCGATGATGCGCAGAGCCTGAGCGCCATCGTGCTCAGTAAGGCGACCACGCGATCGGTCGCCGAGTACGAGGAGCTCTGGACCGGCCTCCTTATCGCTCACTACGGCGAGCTACGCTCGCACCCAGCAGTGCG